AAATGACCCACCCCCCACCCCATCAAGTATCCCAGGGCCGCAAACAGCCATTCGCTAATTGTCCGTTCAGTGAATGAACCTGGAAGTGACAAACATTTTGCCACTTCTGGTTTCAGAACTGTTATTCCCCAGCCACTGTGGTCAGGAAAGAAGCTGTGGAGTGCAGGGGAGACAATAGGGGTCTAAAAAAACCCCATATGTATTATAAAAGATAACCTGTCATTTCCATTGTGCTATCACATAGGGAGGTGTCAGTTCGGGTCGCCGTTGTACAAAATGACAATTGCACCACAAATATTATGTATTACTGCACACCAGAGGGAGAGGAATCATTCTAGGACCATCATCCATAGTTAACGCTAAACTAATGACTTGTAAAGGCTTTTACATAATTGCCTATCAACAATTTTGGGTACCATGATTTGTTGCTGTTTTATGGCTGTGCACAATTTTAAGGCTTGACACATTTGGTATCTATTTGCTAAATGCATCCTCGTCTTTTATTTTTCACCAAAAATTGGGTTATATATCAGTTATGGCCTTAACATGTAAAAAAAAAGGCAGAAAAACTGGCTCTGGCAGGAAAAGGGTTACACCTATCATGTAAGAAAACGGAAGCCTGCATGTACTTACTTATTCGTCTGAAAATTCTAGTTGGCTTGTTGTCTTGCTGACCCTCTTGCTTCAATTGTAATTAATCCAAAACAATTATACTGAAAATTAATTTTGCTCTGGCTTTTCCGATCTGCACACCAAACCAAAAAGCCAGTCACCTTTAAGCATTTGTAGTAACCTAATCTCCAGTCTTTAATGGCCATACTGCAATCTTATCTCTCATGGATTGTGACCTGCCTGCTGATCCGTCATCCTGGTTCACACACCTGATGACCGGCTCTGCCTGCAATTAAGTGGCCCTCGTGCCACTTTATGTCCTCAAATCTCCTTTCACCAGTTCCAGGGGTGTTGGACAGCAGGTGCAAGAGAAGCCCACTCATCAGCTTGGTCTCAACCCAGGTACATGACAGTTGGGTTCTGTATGTCAAAATATGGGTCCGGAATTCTGTGTGACATCATTGGCCAAGTATGGTCATGACCATATTTGGTCAATGACACCCCCTTACATTGGTGGCCAGGGGTAAAAAGCATGCCCCATTGAATGCATCATCTTACAGTGCTGATCAATGGAATAAAGAATCAGGAAGCCAAGCATTGTTGTCAATGTTGTTACTTACCTAAGAGAAGCTTTGCCGCTGACTCTGCCTAATGACAACAGTGTTAGAACTATGAAGCCACCATCAGGCACAGATCACTCTGTCCAGGAAATATGGGTGAACTTCATCATCTTTCCTCTCACCTCAAGCCCCATAGTAGCTGTGTGGGCTGCTATGGCAGTAGGAATATGTGGGAGGCTGGAGGGAGCAAAAGGGTTCGACACTACCAAGAAGTGTCAGAGTTCTGTCAGAGTCCGTTCATAACAGCCTATAGCAGGGGGTACTGCTTGTGCACCAGGTATTTGTATGCACCTCTAGGAGTCACTTTAAAACTGAGATATTAAAAACACAAGTGAATGAGGTTACATATTTATTAAACATTGTCAAATTTATTTCAAAATGCAAGTACTTGACATGTGTAAGAAAGTCACTGGTCTGTACTCAGGAGTTTCCAGTATATGCAGATTTATTGTGAATCATAATGAACAGTTTCTTTCAATAGGGTGCTTTCTCCCTATAACAAAACAGCTTCTGGCAGCAGTAACACAAAATAAAAAGGCCTATTCCAACTTAGGAGTCTAACGAGCAGTAATTTCCCTGACTACTTTCTACTGGAGCGGCTATTCCAGCTTCCAGTACCAAAAGAAGCATAAAGCATAAACACAGTCTTTAACATACAACTTTTAGCCAGACCTTATCCCAGAGGTATTCAGACGCTCTCCAGTCTGTGTATGCATCCATTCAGCCCAGAATGGATCTCTCTCTGAGCTCTCTCCCCCTCTCAGTCACTATCAGGTGCAGGCTAATTAATAGAGAGAGGAGGTGGGCCTGTTGGGGCACGGCTTAACTCCCTCCTAGCCAGGGAAAGTTGCCCTTCTCAATCTTTCACTGACATACACAAAGTCATATACCCTGTCACAACTTGTATATTAATACATTATTTTGATTTATTAAATCAATTGAGAGATATTTGTATATTTTGGTAAGAAATCACCATAAGCTCAAAGAACTCAGAGAATTGATATTTGTGGTTTATTATTAAGTGTTTATTTATTGGTGTGTTATTAAGTTATTTATTATTTGCCGTAATCGGCTGGAGGCGCGGCCTATTGAATCTAACTATAATTCAGACACCGTCCTATTATTAATAACTTACCAAGATTTTTATACCACTCAATCACAACAGGACGCCCCCGGAGGTGATAGACTGGGAATGGGAGGTGGCGGAGCTGGGAATGGGAGGTGGCGGAGCTGGGAATGATTTTGTTTTGTGAGGTGGCCGGGAGAAGCTCCCCACCGGTTGGAGAGGAACGCTGTATGTGCAGTCAGAGCCTGGATGGCGAGGATTTATCTTCTGGGTTTCATATTGCTGTTTCTGTAGAGAAAAGTCAGGCCATCACTTGACTGTGCTGACTATCAGAGCTGGACAAATCTCAGACCTGACTGGACAGGAATGCAGATCCTTGGGATTTTTGAGCATTTGGAGTTTTAGTTTAAAAAAATTAATAAATAGAAGTGACCCCCCCTCCCCCCAAACCTTTTTAGCCCATTATCACCCAATATGAGGCTCCTGATATGTTTAATTACCACACAATGGTAAAGTTCCAGTTGGCTCAGCGATGTCATTGTAAGGACCGTTTTGCAATCCAGATTGTTGTTTAGTGGTAAAGAATGTGAGCGGAATGTATTTTTAGGTTCATCTATTTTAGGTTCTGCCCGGTTCTTGATGCCTCCAATGCTTCTTCAACACAAACCATAATCCCCTGCCCCACCCCCCCCCCCCCAGCTTAACACGGGCGTGGGAAACGGCCACCTCTGCAAACCCATGTACCCGGGACAGAGCATCTGCATTACTATGGAGGAGACCTGCCCTATGTCACACCACAAAAGTAAAGGGTTGTAAGGACAAAAACCATCTTGGAACCCTAGCGTTCTTGTCCCTGTTGGTGTGCATCCATTTTAACTGAGCATGGTCCGTGACAAGGGTAAACCGGCTGCCCAACAAATAGTAGCGGAGTGTTTCTACTGCACACTTAATCGCCAAACACTCTTTTTCCACTGTGGCATAGCGTTTTTCTCGAGGTAACAACTTCCGACTCAAATACAGAACAGGATGTTCCTCATCACCCACATATTGGGACAAAACTGCACCCAAACCCACCTTTGAGGCATCTGGAGAAAGAACTCCTTCCTAAAGTCGGGAGTCACAAGCACAGGTTGGGCACAAAGCGCTGCCCGCAGACCAGCAAAGGCTTCCTCAGCCTTGCTGTTCCACTTCACCGTGTCCGGACTTCTGGCTTTAATAAGGTTAGTGAGCGGAGCAGCCCTTGTAGCGAAGTGAGGAATAAACCTCCAATAGTAGCCAACCATCCCCAAAAAGGCTCTGACCTGTTTTTTCCTCAGCGGTCTGGGCCAGCTCTGTATAGCTCCTATCTTGTTCATTTGTGGTTTAACAAGTCCTCTGCCAACCAGTAACCCCATGTATCTAGCCTCCGCTAAACCCAAGGCACATTTAGAAGGGTTGGCCCTCAGTCCAGCTCTTCTAAAAGTATCCAATACTGCCTGCACTTTGTCCAGATGGCTTTCAAAGTCCGGGCTATGAATGATCACATCATCCAAGTATGCGGCTGCATATTTGGTGTGAGGCCTGAGTAGCTTATCCATCAATCTTTGGAAAGTGGCTGGGGCTCCATGGAGGCCAAAAGGCATGATCCTGTACTGAAACAGGCCATCAGGAGTGGCAAAGGCTGTCTTCTCCCGTGCACGCTTTGTCAATGGGATCTGCCAGTAACCTTTTGTCAGGTTTAAAGTTGTGAAAAACCTGTCTTTGGCTAGTCGCTCTACTAATTCATCCACCCTAGGCATGGGATAGGCATCAAACTTAGACACCTCATTTAATTTCCTGAAGTCATTACAGAACCTGATAGACCCATCGGGTTTAGGCACTAGAATGATCGGGCACCACTGTGAGACTCCTTTATCACTCCAAGCTCAAGCATTTTCTTGACTTCAGCCCTTACTGCTTCCCTTTTTTCCTCCGGAATGTGGTATGATTTTACCCTTACGTTAACCCCTGGTTCTGTAACAATTTCATGGGTAATCTCTCGGGTTTGTCCAGGGTTAAGGGAGAAGACATCTCTATTCTTCTCAACCAAGCATCTAGCCTCCTTTATTTGCTCAGGTGTCAGCTCTGGAGAGATTGTCACTGAAGGTCTTGGAGACTGCAGATCAGGCGTTGTGTCACCCACTGTGGCCGTGCAGGCCTCTCTAGTCCTCCATGGCTTAAGAAGGTTTATGTGAAACACAGCCTCCTTCTTCCGGCGTCCTGGCTGACTAACCTTATAATCTACTGGGCTCACTTTTTCCAACACCTCATAGGGTCCATGCCACTGTGCTAGAAGTTTGCTAGTGGGTACTAGAACCATTACTCCATCCCCCTTTCCAAACTGTCTCACTGTGGCTCTCTGGTCATAGTAGGACTTCTGCATATTCGGAGCCTGCTACATATGTTGGCGAATAAGAGTAGCAATTTGAGTCATACGCACCCGCATATCTTCAACATACTGGAGCACATTAGTCCCAGTTATTTCCTGTTTTTCCCAGGTTTCCTTTAGGACATCCAGTATACCCCTGGGATGCCTGCCATATAAAAGCTCAAATGGGGAGAAGCCCGTAGAACTTTGGGGAATCTCCCGAACAGCACACAACAGGTAAGGAAGCAGCAGGCCCCAATCTTTCCCATCCCTGCCAACAACTTTTCTCAACATCGCCTTTAGGGTCTGGTTAAGCCTTTCCACCAACCCATCTGTCTGGGGGTGGTACACTGACATTTTCAGTGTCTGTACATTAAATAACTGACATAGCTCTTTAATAATATGGGAAACAAACAGTGTGTCCCCTGATCCGTGTGCAACGTCTTTGGTATCCCCACCCGTGTAAACAGCTGAACCAACTCTTTCGCAATATTTTTAGCATTAGCCTTGAGTAGTGGGATGGCCTCAGGTTATCTGGTGGCATAGTCGAGGATGACAAGGATGTATTGGTGCCCTCAAGCTGTTTTCTCTAAGGGACCCACTAGGTCCATGCCAATCCTCTCAAAAGGAACATCGACTATGGGGAGAGGTATAAGTGGGGCTCTCAACTTCGGTCTTTGTCAGGATCCAGAGCACCCCCAGGTGGCGCTCGAGCCAGGTCCTGCAGTTCCTGTGATCTCCTGCGGGTGTCTCCAGCAGCCAGGAACTGTCAGGAACCAGACCACCACTGGGTGGTGCTGGGACCTGCAGCTCCAGTACTCACTTGCGGGTGTGCCCCAGCTGTGAGTGATCATCCCATCACCTGGTACTTCCTGGGAGGGTATTTAGGACCTCCCTGCAGTCAGGAAGCTGGCTCAGTATTGACTCCCATGTCCTGTGCCTTGGAACCTGAACCCTGCTTCCTATCTGCAAACCTGTCACTGACCCAGCTTGTTACCTGACCACTCTTCTTGGATCCTGTTCCTGTAGCGCTCTGCCCTCCTGTTAACGACCCGGCTTGTTACCTGACCACTCTTCCTGTATCCTGAGGCCTGTTGTCTATCTGCAGTCCTGTTACCCCTCCTTGTTGCTGTTCCCCCTGGCTGTAGGTGTGTTTGTTCCAACCGTAGTTTTGTTCCTTCACTGCTAAACCTGTGGGGGGTTGAGGGGGTTTGTAGTTTTGTTTGCTGTGTAACAAATAAACCTTGTGCATAACCTCATCCAGTGTGGTCATATTAATTTGGTCATCATGTGGTGTGAGGATGCCTGTGCATGGTACCCTGACAGTCTTAAAGATGCCAGTTGGCATTCTGGGCAAGAAGCACAATACCTTTTAATCCCCTCATATGCCCCAGGCCAAAAGAACCTCCTAAGCACCCGTTCTTGGGTTTTCTCCACCCCCAAGTGTCCCCCCAGAAGATGAGAGTGAGAGTAGTCCAGCACTTTTCAGGTATAAGATGAAGGCACAACTAGTTGTTCGAGTTCTTGTCCCTCATCGGAGGTTACTCTGTAAAGGAGATCGTTTGAGTAGAAAGTAGAAAAGAAAGTACCCCATTAACCACTATAACTTTACTCCTGGCTTTCTGCAACAGGAGGTCACTTGCCTGGTCTCGGCCAAAGCTACTACCCGAAATATCCAGGAGATCTATATCCTCCTCATCACCTTCACTAGTTGCCTCTGGGTCGGGTTCTGGTTGACCAACCTCTGCCTCATCTTCTGTCTGTCACGTGGCCCCGCCTCTCCTAGTCTGCTCCCCACGCTGATTTAACAGGACTTTATTGACGGCCCTATTAAATCCCAGCTTGCTCTCCCTGCGTTCTCGTCTTTTTTTTAAACTTCTTTTTGGGTTAGAGATATACAAGTCAGGATGAATAAAGGGAAATATTTCATGGACACCTGCATTTCCCAGCTCCGCTTCAGGTTCCCCTTGTTCTAACATTACAGGGGGTTAATAAGAGTGTGGATGTCAAGGAAATTCCTTCCTATTATCAAAGGATATGGTAGACGAGGATTCGGCTCACTTCAGTTCGGCTGGGTTATTCGCTCGGCTGCCTTCGGCAGCATTGTGAATAACCCTGTAAATGTTGCATATTTTTTAAGGAGGGTGTATCCTACTAGTTATACATTTAAGCGATGCTTTCCATTTGTTTTCTTCATCTTGCAATCTTCCTAAGATTTAGATACTTCAGAGTTGGCCTTTTCCTGGAAACAATAGCCAACTGGCAGGACACATTCATCCTGGCTCAGCAGTTATTCCTCTTAAAATATTAAGAGCTTGTTTACACTACCTATGTTGATGTAAGGTGCGTTGTAGCGCACCAGGCACGTGTTACTGCATTGCAGTGCCATTCATTTTGACTGCCACTCCAATGCGTGCCCAAAACGCAACCACGTTACAGTGCACTACAAAGTGCTGTGTTACAGTGTGCTGTGGAGTAAGACTAAAATGGGTTATGCAATGAGGCACAGTACAGCCCATTCGTTTTAAATGAGTTGCCTAATGCAGAGTGCCGCACCATTCCCATAACGCACACAAATGTGTTCTGCTGTAAAGTGTATGCAAAGCCCGAGCTTTTCAGTTTTGAATAGCATGGGGAAGGTTTAACACTCCTGTCACTTTTTATACATTTCAAACTGGAAATTCATATATTTTTATTACTATTTGAGTTGAATTGTATTGTAACTGCACTGTCTCCATGTATATAGTAAAGCGCTACACAAGCTGTTGGCGCCACATAAATTCTGTATAATAATAACTAAGACCTCAGATGGTGGGAAAGTGAGGAGGATGTGTCACTGCTCTGACTAATTAAAGAAGAACTCTGGGCAGAATTTTCTTATCTCTTGCCGTGGGGCTACTCCTGCATTGCAAGGGTTAAGTGCTCGTTTTATTCTCACCCGAACCGCTGAGCTGGCTTCTGGTCACTGAAGCCTCTCTCCTCCTACGCTGCATCATTCCAATGTTCCTCAGCATCCTCCTGTCTATACACCGTGAATAGAATGTGATGATTTACAGAACCTTAGACCCCCTGCAGCAGAGGGGGAGAAAGGCTCCAGAGACCATTCTAAAAGAAAGCTGTATCCTAGGATTAAGGGAGTATAACTTTTTTTTTTTAGCACCTAGACAAAAAAGCACTTAACCCTTGCAGTGCAGGGGTAGCCCAACGGCAAGGGTTAAGAAACATTCTGCCCAAAGTTCTGCTATAACTTGTGTATCTAGATTACAGCCTGAGCTACTGAGCTCTGTAAACAACATCCTACTTCCAGCAAACCAGATAAGGATATACAGATAAACATGTGAGAGACGAGGGCTCCACCTGATGGCTGAATATGAAAATAATAAAAAATGGTTACCCAGAATATTATGGCAAGGGAGAACACAACACTTTATGGCCCCAATCTCACAACAGCAGACAGATATGTGAAGGGAAGAGGTATGCGACAGGCCTCTGAGTCATTCAGTGTTTAAATCTGAGCTTAAGCTGTTGTCTATTGAGCTCTATAAACAAATATTTGTTGGAATAGAGTGGCCTGCATATAGTGTATATATGGTGTATAAAGAGCGTCCAAACGGTGCTTCCCTGGTAGAATCAAAGCAGTAATTAGCAACGGGGCAGGATGGTGCAAAAAGGGTGTGAAACCACTAATGGGCCTTGTCCTTGGCTCCGGCAGTGCCCACATGGGTTTCCATATCCTTTATATTAAGTATAAAAGAGAACCACAACTCTAATCTATTCATAGTGTAAACAAGATGTGCCTCTTTATTATACAGCTGTTTGTCAGAAATTCAAAGAAGCAGAATTACAGAATTCACTCTTGGCAGTGCTCCAATTACTGGGCCAACTCAGAAAGACAAGAACCATTACCTGACCACTATGGCTGCATCACAAGCAACCACTACAAGTGCAAACGCGACTTCATTGCATTCATGAAAAACTTAAAGCTGGAACTATCATTATCTTTTTTTTCATATACCTTCATTCCATACCTTCCTTCTGAGATATATAGTATTTAAAAGTTAAATACACATTTATAAATGTAAATCGTGAATAACTGTGGTCCATTCATACAGACTAGTAGTTGTGATCAACACAGAGCTCTTGTCTGGCAAATAAATGTATTAAGCAAAAGCAACCCTTATGCTTTCAGGTAAACTGAAACTACACAACATACTGGAGTTTAGTTGCATATAACAAAATATATTGTTAAATCAATTTTATTTAAATGTATTAACATAATAAAATATATTGACTTTTGTGATAGTTCCCCTTTAAGTCTTTAGGCAGAAAGATTAATACAAAACCAAAATTTGCCACAGGTTTATGTTTCTGCTCAGTAAGTTATACATGCATTTGCATCAATCTGATTGCTAGGAGCCCCGTAAGGCTCATACCCCATGACTTTTCTAAATGTGCCAAGCTGGCTTTACTGTGTTTGCTGCTTAGGGTACACAACACCAAGGGCAAAGGATATAGGGTGCTATGGCACAAGGTGTGGACTGCATTTGCCTGAACCCACAGGAAAGCTTGCAAGGATGCTGAAGGCAAATGAGCACATGATGTCCTATTTTAGTCCTTTTGCTTCAGTTAAAGTCTCCCCATAAGCACAGGCATGTGCCACCTTAACAAGCTTCAAATAGCCCTGTATTATCCATGCACTGCATTGTGTTCCCCAAGCAGTTAATGCAGAACACAATAAAGGTGCCTGCCACAATGATATGGGTATTTGACCTAAGCTGGCCAAAACACTACAAGACTGTGGCATCATAACAGTGATTTTGGTTCAATCTTCTGACAATATCCTTGTTGATCAGAGTCCAAAGGTCACAACAGGAAACCTTAACAGAAGGTATTTGGGTTGTGAACATTAGTCCCCCGTTTTACTCTGCTGGCAAAGCAGAGGTAAGTGGTATAACATTTCACTCGCTAAAGGTAGTGCTATATGCTGTATCATCCTATTGAAACTACATAATCTCATAGCGAACAACAGCAATGCATGGGGAGTGAGAAAAAGACCTGGTGAGGGTCTGGTCTAATCGTGCATGGCCAGCTTTAATTCCTATAGACTTTGGCTGAAAGTGCAGAACATGTATACTCTGAAAAATAATTTTGTGTCCACAACAAAAACATGGTAATTTCACAGCAAGTTCTCCTTCCAGTTTTGTGGTATATACTTTCCATGTTCCAGTAATTTGAGCACCACTTTTCAGGACGCTATCTTAAAAAGTTCATTTCTCATGGAGAATTTGGTATCTTTCACTTCCAAGCTTCTCGGAATGTTTGGCCTGCAGCACAGTGCAGCACGTTAGGATCACAGGTCTGACCCATCAGTCCTTTGTGTAATGGTAACGTTCATTAGGTAGGCGCATCATAAGTATGACACCAAGGCTACTGTGAATAGGTGCACCAGAATCAGTGAAATGTTAGTTGACAGGCTGATGCTGAAAGATTCTGCTGAAGATGTACAAGAACAGACTTCATAAGCATTCTCTGACCTGCTCTCATCATGCTGACCCTGTCTGGAGTGAGCACCAGTCCTACTGCTTTCTGCACTTGGTCCATCTGACTGCATGTCACTGCATACTAGCCAGTCCCGTGCAGTTATTTGCGGGTAACCTTCTTCAGCTTGCATCTTATTGTCAAGCACTTTCCAGTACTCTTTTCCTCTGAAGAAGTAGGTTGAGCCTGAGTGGAATAAAGAACATTAGCCACATCTATTTCAACATTCAAAACAAGCATAGATTCAAAACAATTTGTTATTATACACAATAAATATAATTATGTCTATTAAACGCTCAAAGCATGTACTTCCATGACTGATGCATACTGCTTTGTTTTCATTATATTTACATTGGGTACAATATTTCCCACTAACAATTTTAACATAATTATAATGAGTCCCAGAGATGCATTATAAATTATGGCAGTTATCATTTCAGTTAGTATTTCTATCATGTTGTGTCAGGGAGGGATATAAAGGGCTGTTCAATGGAACATTAGCAAAAAGAAGTGATCAGGAAAATATAACAAAATGTTTTTTTTATTTGCTTTGTGCCACATTCCATTACCCATAATAGTATTTTTCAATGCCTAGTTTAAGGATTACTTTATGTGTAATACATTCAACCAATTTTACAAATGTTCCAAGAACAAAAAAAAACACCCTGCTGTGTAGATTTATAATTGATTATTATTGCTTACAAGATTTAAAGCAGATTTTCAGTGGTGCTACCCCTGCACTGCAAGGGTTAACTGCACATTTTGGTCTAGAGAACAGAATAAAGAAGATACACTCACTTGATCCTCGATCCTGCAGCATTGACTGCTCACTTCTCTCCCCCTCCACTCCAGCTGTGATATGTCTCTCGCTGACCTCACATCAAATGCAATTGAATGGAACTTGCAAAGACGTGATGACATCAGCAGGGCTTAGACCACCAAAGCCTGGGGAAGAATAGGCTGAGGGGATCGGTCTAGCAGCCAGGTGGGATGGAGGAGCAGGTAAGTATATTTTCTTTATTTGCGTCCCTAAACCAAAAATGAGCAGTTAACCCTTGGAGTGCGGGGGTAGGCCCACTGCAAGGGTTATCCTTTGAAAATCCTGGAGTTCCTCCTTAACCACTTGCCGTCCACCCGTTGTAAAAAAACGGACGGACGGCACTGCAGCATTGGCGGGTTGCTGTCTCCAGACGGCATTTTTTTCTGCTCGCGCGCGCTCCCTAGGCACGCACGCACGGGCAGAAAAGACCCGACCAATGCAAACACCCGTTACCGGGTGTTTCACATATAGACGATCGGCGGCTCCATAGCCCAGCGATTGCATATATGTGCTCAAACCCGGGTTCCGCTGCCCCATCTGCGGCCCGGGACCGGCTCGGAGGACGCCAGGAGGAAGAAGACGGGAGATCAGCTCCTTGCTGAACTCCCTCCGGACTGTGAATGCAGAAGTGATGTGTGTTACATCACTTCCGCATTCACCTGTTAGTCATCTGGCTGCTATAGCGAGAGAAAAGAAGCTGATGAAGCAGATCTCTGCTTCATCAGCTTCTTTTGGGGTCCACAGGTGACATTAGGGGTCCTAGAGACCCCTAATGTCTCCATAAAGAGGACCTGTCAGTGTGCATTTGCTATTATATAGGGGGATTGTTATCCCC